AGGTAATCAGCTCTTCTCTTTTTTTAGCTCTAATATTCAGCGGAAAAAAATCTCGATAAAATTATTTAATAAAATTTCTTTCCGATGTCAAAGTAATTTTTTTTTTTACTTTCTAATTAATTTTTTTTGGTCTCAGTATAGAATTTGATTTTTTAATTTTTTTGGTAAATATAAAAGGTAAAAACGTATGTTAGTTGGTGATCAATATTAAAATTTTTCCTCTCAATATGTTTTTTTTTTTTTTTTTGTTGAATAAATTTGTAAATTAGATTTTTGGCGCCTCTAAAAATATTTTTATTTATAAAATAATATTGACGTCTGATATTTAATTTTTAAAATTCTATCGCCATTTTGTTGATTTAGTCGCCATTCTATTTGTACAAACATATAAGTATGTACATAGGTACACACATTTGTACATACATATATTATATACATAGTATAATTTTGCATCACCATATGTTTACATGGGTATTTAAATGTCATATATGTACGTATACATGTGTAAGACATGTAGTTAAATTTAATGTACTTATGTATATCATGTTCAATATTTCAATGGTAATTGGTACTTGTATATATATATATACATGTATGTATGTATGTTATTAAAAAAATTGATAAAATTCTTTTTTATAGTTTATTAAAATGAATTGTCAAGCGTCTTAATATTGTAGACAAATTGATTTAAAATTATTTCAGTTTGTTACTGAAATTATTTTTGTGCAATTCAATGGAATGAATTTTAAAGTAAGAGTTTAAAATATATGTATGTGTATTTCAATTGCTACTGTATATACTACTGACAGAAATATCCAAAAATCAACTAAATTTTAAATACAAAATTATTACAATAAATTAATTTTATAATGTGCTAGTAATTAATAAAATTATTTTATTATTCAAAAAACAAAATATGTACTTACTTACTTATTTTCCAAAAGCAAAATTTTTTAATACCTTTTAAACATGAAATCTTTTTCAAATTCAATAAAAATAAATTCCTTCACTCAACTTCTATATTTCTTTGTTTTTTTTTTCTTTTCAATCTTGATTTCATTTTAGTTCTAAATTGATTTTAAATTGCGTAACATGATACCCATTTTAATTAAAAATCGATTGTTCTATTACAAAAAAAGAAAGAACCCAAAGTTAAAGTTGAAAAGAAAAAAAGAATTATGGAATCTGAAAATAATGATTAGGTCTTAAAAAACAACACTCGTAAAAAAAAATGACAAAAATAACAAAACAAGAAAAATTGTTAAATGCAAAGAAAACAAAAACACAAAAAAGTAAACAAAACAATTTTCTCTTTCCATTGAAAAAGGATTTATAGAGACGAAGTTTTTAGAAGAAATGAAAACTTATACATTTATATACAGGGTGATTGAGTTTCAATAGTATCTCCGAATTAAAATGAAAAAATACAAAAATAATGCAGAATTTTTTCCTTCTCTTTCTCAAGTTATATACTTAATGGTTCAAAGCATGTCTTCTTGAAAAGTGCTCCTTTTTTACAATTAACTTAATAACTAAGAATATACGATTAAATCTAACATGCTAATAGAGCCAATTTTGTAATCTGTTTTACAATAATAATAGATTAAGAGTTAAAGAAAACAATTGCTTAAAATATGTAATTTTTTTTAAATTTTGGATTAAGACTTATTTCTTAAAATTAAGAAGTTTTTGATTTTAGTATTGATTTTGAGCAAAAAGTAGAATCTCAGGGAGCTTTAAAATGAATTCGTAACATTTATTGTTATAATCATATTTCTTATAGTGAAGGTAAAAGAAAATTTGTAAAGTCTAAATTAGAATATATATATATATCCATTTTAGAGATGCCATTTAGTCTCGATCACTCTGTACATATATATATATATATGTAAATAAGCGTTATAATGTAAACTTTCGTTTTTCAGAATAGATTGTGGATGACATTATTTAATATGTAACATACTTATTTATAATATATTACAAGAATTATTACATATAGGTATAAACGTAAATATATTTTTATAAATATATATAGATTTATATATTATGCAATAAGATTATTTTCATGTTATCTACGTATTATATATTATATACCTATCGATTATAGGATTCAGTTATGACAATGCAATATTTACAAACAAAAATCTTTCTTAATAATAATATTTTACTAGTTACGCGTGTTAATAATATTGAACTTAAATAATATTTATAATATTAGAAATATTAGATAATATTTAGATATAACATATTATTTAAAATTATATCTTACTAATATTATGACGAAATTTAATTTTAATAACATAAATAAATAGAATCTGCATGTTTCTAGAAAGTTTGACATTTTTATTTATTAAATCTTCGTTCAAAACTCGATAAATACCAATAAATCAGTTTAGCTTTAATATATGTATGTATGTAGAATTAATGGATAATTGTAATTTTCATAAATAATAGAATTTCTAAGCTTTTCAAATTTGAACCATCAATCAAATCTACTCTTCAATTATTTCAAAGCTTCAATTATTTTTGTTTCATGATTTTTACGTTCTTAAAAATTGCAATAAAAACAAATTTTTAAGTAAGTATAAAAAGGACAAATATAATACACTTGATCACGAAGGTCTTCGTATACTCTATAAATATAATATTTTATAGTTAATTTCAAAAATATAAAAATTTTGTTGAACAAATTTTTATTTTTTAATTTGATTTTAATTAAATAAGATTTTCTAATAAAAAATTATTTTATTCAATAATTTAAAAAAGTAGCAAAATAATTTTTCGTATAGAACTGTCTATGACTATGCATTTACGTATGTATGAGATTTAAAAGAAAATGTCTGTGGCATTGAGAAAACACATAGTAATTTATTGAACAAGTTTCGATTAATTTAATTTGACCATTAAAATTAATTGATTTTATTTTTAAAAAAATATTTTAATAGAACACTTAAATTTGGAAAAAAGTTTAAAAGTCTCGAACTATGTCTGTGTTGGAATTTTTTGGTTGACACCACATACATATATGAAAAAAATAAAATTCTTTATTTTAAATCGAAATTTATATTTCAAATAATTATATTCTTATAAAAATAAATGATAGTAATAAAAACTATAGGAAAAATTATTTACTTCTTTGTTAATTATAGAATCGTGCTTCAATTAATCAATAAATTTATCACAAAAAAAAAAGTAGAATTCAATTCATTTTTATTATATTCGCGTTAATTTAAAATTTAAGATTTTCAATTGAAAGCTCAAAATTTTTAAAATCAATTGTGACTATAGCACATTTTGTAAATTTTGATTCTCATTGCATAAATATAAATTTAGTTCCGTAAATAACAGTTTGTATGATCTTTATGTACAATGTTTAAATTCCTAAAACAAATTGCAAATGAAAAGACATTTTCCTAATTTTATAACAAACCAATTGTAATTTAGGATTTTTATGTTTTAAAAATATTTCATTGTGTTATATAAATATATAAATTGTAATTTTAAACTTCATGCCATACATAAAAAAAAAAAAATTAAAGGCATTTGTAACCTTAAAAATAAAGGTATCATAATTCGTGATTTTCATGCAGTGTCATATATAGAAAATTATAATATTCCGCTTTTTCTAAAAGTACAAAAATAAAATGGCAATAAAATTTTCTTTGTACATGTTAAACTTTCATCTTTGTTTTTTTTTCTTTTCTCTTTGTTGTTTTTTTTGTCTATTAATATAGGTACATATATAAATGTATATAAAAAAATATTTTTATTTTTTTTCAATATATAATAAAATAATAAAATAAACGATTGTAATGCCATTATAAGAAAACCAAAGCCATATACATACATACATACATACATTATCAAATAAAACGTACATTATGTACACATACATATTTAAATGTATTTATTGTATAATAAATTGTTAAATAAAGCAAAAATAGTTTTCGAAAATAAAAGTGACTTTCTAAAAGTCTAAAATAAAAAAAAAAATAGAAACTAACTGAATGAAAAAAAGACAATACCATCGAATTTTTGTTCAAGATTGATCAAACAATCGATTATAATAATTTCTATTATATTTTATTTTTATATTAGTTTAAAGCATTTTTTCCTCTATCGTAATTATTACGGCGTTTAATTAAGCAAAATAGAGAAATAATATAGAAAAAATAAAAAAAAAAAAATAATAATATTGTTTTTATATTTTGGGAAGAAGAACGCAACCGGCATTATATTAAACTACACACACGTACGTATTCATAAATACACATGTAATATTTAAAAATTAATTAGAAAATATAAACTTTTGCCAAGGTTTTCTAATTTTTTTTTTTTTGCATATTTTTTTTCTCTTCACTTTTTCTTTGCTTATTAAGCTTAGATCAAATTTTATGATTTACGCTATGAAATTGACCTATGAAAATGTAGAGAAAAAACAACAAAATTACCTTTAAACATATCACACTATTAGAGTGAAAGTGTTTTCATGAAACTATAATGGTTAACAAAAAACAAATCACTATAAGCATGTAATAATTATTATGTATTTCTATAATAATAAATTATTGTGAATTAAAAGATTTATAATATTTAAAATTAACCCATTTAAAGTCGTGATTCCAAAATGAGAATTGAGACGTTACAAAAGTTCTCCTTTTTTGTGTTAGGAAAACAAAATTATTAAGGTTTAATGAAAACATTAATACTTTTGATCTAAACTCAATTAGTGATGTATTTTATTACATCCACATTAAAATTATATTGAAAAAATTATTATTTATTTCCTGATTAAATGAGAGCCGGGTCTTTGTTATAATATATTGGACTGTAATACGTCTTTTAAATTTAGTAAATAATTAAACAAACTCAGTAATTTTTAATTGAGTAAATAAATTACCTATTTTGATTTTTCTATATTTTCTATTTGTTAAAAAATTGAGAAAATATCTTAGATAATTAAAAATAATTTTTTTATTCAATTTTTTTTTTCATTGTAGACGTGGTCTTACGCCTCCACATCGAGTAAAATCAATATCGATGGCAACATTTACACAAGAAGAAATAGATTTTTTAAAATCCCATGGAAATGATGATTGTGCAAAAACATGGTTAGGATTATGGGATCCGAAACGTACTGTACATCAGGATCAAAGAGAATTAATGATAGATAAATATGAACGTAAACGTTATTTCTTAGAACCAGCTAGTCCACTTAAATCTTTAACAAATGCTGCAACATCAAAATTATCTTCATCATCTTCATTATCATCATCATCAGTATCATCATTATCAACTGCTAGTAATATAAATCATAATAATAATAATAATAATATTAATAATATCAATAACAGTAATAATAGTAATATGAGTAATGGTTATACTTATCTAAGTGATAATAATACAAACAACAACAGTAATAATAATAATAATTATAATTATCATAAAAGTAGTAATTTTAATGGTAACAATTCAAGTAGTTTGAATAATGGTCATCATCAGATTAGTAATGGAATTCTAGCTCCACCATGTAATAATAATAAATTATAATTATTTAGTTTCATAATATAAGTAAAATTTTAAAATTTATAAAATGTTTTGTTTTTAATTATTTTGTAGCACCACGACATCATAATGTTACATCATCTTCATCATCATTATCTTCGGCAGGTGGACAAAATGGATTTAATGGAGCAAATGTATATCATAGACCACATAGTAGCAGTTATTATCAGCAACAACAACAGCAGCAACAACAACAGCAGCAACAACAACAGTCAAACCAACAACAGTACCAACAACAACAAAAACAGCCAATACAACAAAATGGTTATACTAATGGATTTAAAACTAATGGATTTACACCTGACTCAGATTTCGTTGCTGATTTTGGTTCAGCAAGTATAGTTACTGCAAATCCAAACAATGGAACAAGAATTAAAGCTCAACAAAATGATATTTCGGGGAATAATAATGGTAATAATAATATAAATGGTACATTTGGAACAGTTTCTAATGGAAATGTAAATGAAAATTTTGCTGATTTTGAACATGCTCCAATATATAATGCTGCTGGTAAGCTTAGTTAGTTATTTATAAGCTTAGTTAACTATTTATAGTTAATAAAAATTTTTCCAACTATAAAAAAAAAATAAAAACAACAACATTTAAAGAAATAAGTAGATAAATAAAATATTTTAGAATTAAAATTTGGATCTTCTAAATATTTGGTCTGTGCTTATTTTATGAAAATTATAATCGGCGATACTTTTTGTTAGACAAAAAAAAAATAAATTAAATATTTCCATGTTATTTATTTAGAGTCTTATATAATTACTTTTTTAATATTTTTTTTTCTTTGTTTACTATAAAATACACAAACACAAAAAACTGATAACATAATTTAGCAGCCTACAATTACAATTTTAATATGCCAACTTTTGATAATTTTGCATCAACGTCGTCATCGAATAATAAAAAGAATTCTTTAACTAATTGTGATTTATTATCAATTTCTACAAATCTATTTCAAACTTCAAATAATTTATATGAGAATTCTAATAAAAATAACAATAATAATAATAAAACGAATAACACATTTTTCACCGTCCAACCAACATCATTTTGTGATGAGTATATATCCAACAATATAAATTATAATGGTAATAGTTTTGGAAATAATAACAATTATTTCAACTCAAACAATAATAATAATGTTAATAATATCAATGTAAATAATAATTATAATAATAATATAAATGATAACATTTTCGATATTTTTATTAATAATAGTAATAATAATATTGATAATAACAATAGTATTAATAATATGAGTAATAATATTAATAATAATAATAATAATAATAATAATAATAATAATAATAATAATAATAATAATAATAATAATAATAATAATATGAAAAACAATAATAATAAAAATGATACTATTTGCAAAAATATTATACAACATCACAGCGGTTGTAAATCATCATTTGAATATAACAATTCAATAAAAGATAATTACAATTTTAATTCAAGTAACGATCAATCAAATTTAGAAGATTTGAATAATTCGCAATGGAATGTCTGGCAGGAGTTTGATATAACGAAAAATAATAACGTGAATGAAAATAATAATAATTACGAAAATTTTTTCAATCAGAATTCTTGTAGTAAGTTTACTTATGCTGAATTTTGGCTGTTAATGTGTTCATTTATTGCTTAAAATAAAATTATTTTCTTTGTTTTATTTTTATTGATTTTAACAAAAATTTTTTTTATTGCTTAATTGTTATTATCCAAAATATTTGATTTTATTCATTTTTCGATCTTCATCAAAATCAATCAAGGAATTATATGAATGGAAATAAAAAAACAAATTTATAAAAATGGAAAATGAAAAACAAATGTTACATAGGATTTATAAAGCACTATATATTCATTATTTGCACAAACATTTTTTAATGAACATAAATGTAAAGATTTTTGAAAATGAATATTATTATTGGCAGAATACAATAATGATTAAAAGTAATTTTTAAGAGATTAAGTACATTTTTTCAAATCATATTTCATTCTCAACTTAATCGTTTATGGATTTTTGAACTGGTAAAAATACAAGTTTGTAACAAGGACATTCTCTTCAGTTAGTTTTATTTTTAAATTATTTACTATTAATGTCTCAAATAAAAATTTTTTTTCTTTTATTCATACTATGTACATGGTTTATTTCATTAAGATTAATTTTAATTTTTTAGTGCTTTATACTTAAAATGATTATTATTTATAGTTGCTGTGATTTTATTTAAGAAATTTGAATGTTGCTTGCATGAGCTTTATTTAACATTTATTATTTACATATTAAAATTCTATGGCTTGTGTTTTTGATTTTCGTTGTGTTAATTGAATAATTGTAATTTGAGGTTTTTAATATAAATAAATAAAGATTTGAGGTATTTTAATCATTATTTTTATATAAAAAAATCATTTTCATAAAAAAAACTCTAGGACATATGAAATTTCTGCATTAGGGTCGACCATTTGAATTTTAGAATTAATTTATATTGCCTTATTAAATTTTAGATTTTCGAATTTTAATGTGTAATTTTTGGTATATATTTTATTTGAATATACATTTTAATTCGGTTTTGATTCGCATGTTTTTTTTTTTCAAATAATATTTTTTTCAATTTAAAATATAATATTTAAAATGGATTTTTGAATTTTATAGGTATGCCACTAAATATGAACAACAATAATAATTTTGCTTTCAAATCGTCAACAAATGTAACATCAAGATCTAATTCAATAGTTAATTCAACACCACCGGCTGATCGTTATGCTGCCCTTAAAGATTTAGACGAACAACTAAGAGAAACAAAAAGTTCATCTACATTACCGATTACATCAGTATTCACGTCAGAAGTTTTACAGAGTAATAACAAATATTTAATTAATTATTTTTTATATAAATATATAAAAGTAAAATTTACAATTACATGATAATAACAAATTGAATATTTTTAGATTCTACAACAGTAAATAATGCGAATCCTTTTAAAACTGTTCAACCGGTATCAGGTAATCCATTCCAAACAAATGGGAATCTTTCATATAGTGTTAATGGAACAAATGGTTCACTATACGATAATACGACTTCCCAACAACTTCAAGTTCAACAGCAAACACAGAATATTTCAAATGGTTTTGTTGCAAATACAAATTATGGGTTATTTAACGGTTACAACAATAATAACAATAATAATATAGGAAATGTTTTTAATGCATATAATAACAACGTAAGTTCGAATTTAATCCAGCAACAACCTGTAATAACTGGAAATTATGCATCAATGAAAAATCCATTTATGGTAATATAAATAGAAAACTTCTGTAAAACTTATTAAAATTAATATTTACTTTTTTTTTTAGACTACAACTATAAACTCAAATAATCCGTTTTTATGAAAAGGATAAGCCGGTTGATATTATAACCGGTTATAACTTTTTACTTCAGAAGGAAAAATATGTTTGCAGAAATGTTATTAATATTTTGAAAGGAAAAGAGAAAATATTGTCCTTTTTATTTATTAAAAACAAGAAAAAAAATATAAATAAATATATTTTAAAAATTTATTCACTTATTATGTAGAAATTAACCTTCAAATTGCTCCTAAAATATAGAAATAATTACACATTATATAATTATAATTTATTTTTTTTATTTCTTTCTTATCTACAAATATAATATTATTATAAAATTACTAAAATTGTCGCTAAGTAGATATATAATTGTGAACAAACATTTGAACAATTTGAAATTGGATGGTATTAAAACGGAATTAAAAATGTATTTGCTTAAAATTTTATTCAAATATTAATTATCAGTTTTATATAATAAATATATAAAAAAAATTTATTGATTTTGTTAACTTACATATATCGAAAAAAAAAATTTTATTAACACATTTAGAAAAATACATAATATACATATCTATGTATTTTTAAATAATTCAGTAATATTTTATATTTACAAATTTTAAATGAAATTGTACACTTCAATTTTATAAAATTGATCAAAATTGTGTTATATGTTATATATGTTATTTAAAATATAATTTTGTATTGTACTACAACATATTTATAAGTTTGCCTTTGAATTTCAAAATCAAATTATGATATAACAACATCAGTTTTTATTTTAATTTTATTTGATTAATGTTGGTTATATTTTAACAATAGAATCTCTTTATTTGATCATAATTATGATTAATAACTTTATTTATTTATTTACTGCTGACTGAAATGTTAAACATTCTGGTGATTAAGCAAAATCTAAAAAAATTTCTTTATTACTTTCTTTCTAATAGAGTAATCAAGAAAAAACTACGGTAGACTAGTCACCTACCTAGCTAACTCTCTATGACTATAGAAACTAGAGCATCATAGATATCATGCACTAGCCCTATACTCACTCCTAGGAGTGAAGAAGGAAAAAAAAAAAAAAAAAAAAATCAAGAAAAAGATTATTTAAGTTTTTTTTCTTGTATTTATCTGTCTATTTTTAAACCTATTTTTCTATTTCTAAATCAAATTCTATTTTTTTTTTAATTTCTAAATAACCGCGTAAGCATTCATCGAATCAAATATGCTAAATTTGAATTAATTTTACTATTAAATTGATACTTAAAATAATTTTATAATCGATCATTAAAATTACTACTCAAAATATAAGATTTTCATATGGTTTCGTACATATCTTTAGTATTATAAATAAATACTAGAAATTAATATTGTATATTCGGAAATTTACAGATGAAAAAATTTGAAAAATAGAATTTTGAAATTTGTTCATATCTTCAATTTGTTGTTAATCCTAAATAACCGAAGTCCAAGAAAATTTGTTTATCAACTATTTGAGTAGACGCAGTTTGAACTGTATTGCACTGATTCAATTGTTGACAAAATTAAAGGTTTTTTTGAAAACTTTTTCTTATTTTTTATAAAATTTATTAAATTTATTCATTATATTCCAAGCGATTTACAAATGTTTCATTTTCTGAAATACTATATTGAAATTTGCCTCTATTCACCTGAAAATTCAAAGTTTACCAGACTTTTAAAAAATATAAATAAGAAAATTTCTAGTTCATGTCTTCTTTTAATAATTTTTTAGTTAATCCCACATATTTATGTTAAGCCTCTTAATTTATTTCGTAATTTTAACGATAAACTTAAACTAAAAAAATAATAAGTTACTCTATTAACTATTATCTACTAATATCGTTGATTTAAAAAAAAACTTATGTATAAATTTTAGGTTTTATTGAAGAAAAAAAAGGAAAAAGAAAATAAAAAAAAAAATCTTTAATTTTCTTTTAAAATTTTTGATTTTGAATATACCTACATATTTGGGGAAAGTGATAAAAAAGTCCAAAATTTTGAAGCGTGATTTTTGCCTTAATAATGTAACTTAAAAATAAATGTTGAAACTAAAAATATAATTATATGTAACTAATTTATGGACAGCTCAAATGTAAAAGATTAAAATAATATAACTTTAAAGATTATAGATTTTCCATTTATCATCATATAAAACAAATTGCTCAACATATACTGCTGTAAGAAATATATCAGAAACTTGTGAGATTTTTTCAAACGAAAAAATATATATTTATATTACATAAATATTTATAATAATATACAATTATACATAATATTTACATAGTAACTCAAGCCATCTCACTGATGTTAATAAGGTCGAAAACAAAAAAACACTTAATTCTTAATTAGTGTTTTTATTAAATCGTCAGTTTCTTTAAATTTTACTATACATATGACAAAATTAAAGTAATTAGAATATAAGAAAGAAAAATCAAAAAATATAGTTTAAAAGAAAAAAGAAGGTATATTTTGTAATATGTTTAATTTGCAAATTCTTATGATAATTGTTTTAGCAAGCCTGCATTACATTTTAATGTGTAAAAAAACACTTGCACTACATTTAAAAAAAGTAAAATGCTTCGTTTTAAATTGCAAATATAAGATTTTTATATTTATTTTTTTAGGATATTTTAAAGCAGTTACTTATATAAAATAAATATATCGTTATATTCTTTTAGTTATGCTAAAGAAAACCAAAAAATGGATTTCGTTTTTTTTTTGGGTACAGAAATCGTTTTAATTCTAAAATAGTTAATTTATAGCAAAGATAGTTACATAATATATTTTTATTTAAAGAATTTAAATATATTTCAAAACATATGTATGTATTAAAATTGTAAAAAAGGATATTTTTAATAAATATAAAAACAGTATAAAAAATGTTTCTTATTTAATATAAATATAGTAATTTAATCAAATATTAATTTGATTAAAATTTGAAAGTATATTTAAAAACTGTATCAGCTCTCAGTTTTGATTGATCTGAGTGTTATTTTATATGAAATGTTTTCGAAAAATGATGTTGAAATAGTATAAAATTCTTAAAAATATCTAGACCTACATAATATTTAATTTTTGGTTTAAATATCATTTTAATTTAAAAGGTACATAAAAAAATAAAAATGAGCGAATTTATAATGCACATTATTTTCTACGATATAAAATCCATTCACAATATACTTTTGCTGTGTGAATTGAAATCAATACTCGAAATAGGTATGAGCCGTCAAATGGTTTCAGAAATGTCATATTTTACTGGTTATTCTGAATTGTCATGCAGTTGTCATAATATTTTTTCGTGTGTATTTTTGATAAATAAGATTTAAAATTAGAAACATTTCAAAAATAATTATATCATCTGCTAAGATTTTAACTTTTAATTTATACAGTAAATATAGAAATTTGGATGTAAATATTGTTTTATTAAAACAACAATTTATTTTATTTGTGATACAAAAGTATTTGCTGAATACAAAATTGTCTAAATGAAGCACAAATACTTACATGTGTCTAAATATAAATTTTGAGTATACATTAGACAAAGCAAAAAAATAATTAGTTCTATAAGATTTAAGATGAAAATATTGGTTTCACAATTTCGACATTTCTTGGTATTTATGTCAAAAATATGGACATATATTTGTTATTTTTTTAATAAAAAGGTACGATCATATGAACCAGTGAAGTATGTTGTATATCCACTATCACCGGTGTCAAGGCATCGTTTAACAATAGTTTTACGAAAAACTCTGGTATTGGATTTAGATGAAACATTAATTCATTCACATCATGATGCAATGTCAAGAAATACTGTACAGCCAGGTACTCCACATGATTTTACAGTAAAAGTTGTGATAGATAGGCGTCCAGTAAGATTTTTTGTACACAAAAGGCCGCATGTTGATTTCTTTTTGGATATTGTGTCACAGTGGTACGATCTGGTGGTTTTTACAGCAAGTATGAAAATATATGGCGCTGCTGTTGCAGATAAATTAGATAATGGTAAGAATTCCTCTCTGAATGTTTTCTATTCAATTAAATGCTCTTACTAGAATAATTTTTTAAAATATAAGACGAATCAAAGGCTTACTTGGTAGCTAAAATTAATACTTCAAAATTTTGTTATTCTATTTAGATATATTTGATTTAATACAATTTAATCAAGTCAATAACATTTAAGCTTTTTATTAATAAAATTAAGATGTAAAAACTATTTTACCAAAAATTGACTATAATTTTTCAAAATTTCAGGAAGAAACATATTGCAAAGAAGATATTACAGGCAGCATTGTACTCCAGACTTCGGTTCCTACACAAAAGATTTATCAGCTATATGTAACGATTTAAGTAGAATATTTATTATCGACAATTCACCAGGTGCATATCGTTGTTTTCCACATAATGCAATACCCATAAAGAGCTGGTTTTGTGATCCAATGGATAATTCATTATTGACCCTCTTACCATTTTTAGATGCTTTAAGATTTACAAGTGATGTACGTTCAGTGTTATCAAGAAACTTGAACTTACATCGCTTGTGGTAGACAAAAATTTAAAAATCCAAATATAAATAAATTATAATAAAATACAATTATATGTATTTTTGACAACAAAGTAAAGAGATTATTTGACCAAAACTATTATTTTTTAATTAAAATTGTAAATTTAAATTATAATTATATTTTTGCAGTACTTATTTGTTTTAAATATTTGAAAGAAAAATTATATTTTTTTTTAAATATATAGGGTATAATTTCTATAGTGATTTTGATTTTAAGTTACAGAGATAAAAAGAGGCGTAAATAAAGCATTGAATTATGATTACGTTTAACTATTTTTATTATTTAGAGACAAGTCGAAAAAATTATTAAATAATTTTAAAATCAAAGATTTAAAGAGAAGTATTTTGAATTAATTTAAAATTATGATTTTTGATCAGCAATAAAGAGTTATTAAAATAGTTTTAAATTTTTTTTTCGATGTTTAATTTAAACAAACAAAAAAAAAACACCCATGTTTTTTTAGGTGTACAAGTAAAAATTTAGAATAATCATAAAAAAGATTATAGTGTGTGTAATTAAATGAATAAAGTACCTATTTACATAAATTTTAACCCAATGTTATTTATATTAAATAAAGATCTATAATTTAGCCTTTGAGAAATTTAATTTTTTTTATAGAAATCAAGGCTTCTTAAAAATTGTATGTCAACTTAGCGTTGAAGATTAGATTGTATATTGAACTATAAAAAGCAACATAAAGATACTAAGGGTAAACATTTATACAAATTTTATTAATTCTGTTTCAATTACATTAATTTTGATTTAAATACAGTAGCTTAAGAATATATATATATATATATGTACCTCTGAAAATACATATTTTTAATCGTTTTGGTATATTGTAATTGCAACACTTAATTTTATTGACCGAATGTTTTATTGAATTAAAAGATTCGTAAAATTATAGCGAAAAATTGATAGATATTGATTTAAAACTAAAGTTTATTAATTGATTTGCCTTAAAAAAACTAAAAGTTAAAGTTCCGGCTTTATGTACATAAATTAATTAATTTAGAACATAAAACAATGAATTCATGAGAAACTAAAAAACAAGTACAAATGTACCAAAAAAAAAACCAGTTGTATTTTTATATTTATTATTTGAATAAGGAGATCTTATTAAATCATATAATATGTGAGGGAAGTTTATAAAATCTAGGAGATTTCTACAAGATTTTATTTTATTTATGTGAATATGCAGATATATTTTTACGCTGATTCAAAGCGTGATTAATAAATAAGGACACTCATTTGAAATAACCGGTATTTTATTCCGATCCCGCCTAAATATTTGAGTTAAAGTAATGCTGCATTTATACACCTATGTACATATACATACGTATCCTTTTTTTAATATCCATGTTCGTTTTCAATAAAAAAAAACTAAAATCATAAATTTATAGTTACCTACGTAACTATAATACCCAAAAAAAAAAAACGAAAACACATAAAATAAAAAAATGGGATAAAAAGACATATACATTGGTAGGTAAGTATAAGCAAATTGAAAAATGATGACTGAAATAATATGACCTTAGGAAAAGTTCCTTGTTCTGAACGAATTCAAAATAATACAAAAGTGAATAACAAGAAATTCAAGATTTTGTACGTGACATTTACAAAAGGATATATGTAGGTATATATAAAATGGAGTATATACGTGTCGTATAGAAAAATATTTAAAGGGATGTAAGGATAGATAAACTCTACTTATGAAATTTGAAAAGAACTGAAGACATTAAAAAACAAATTAATACATGCATAAGTACATAAATGTATTTATATGAATATTTATTCTATTAATATTTTGTAGTGCTTAATGATTGAGAAGGTAACAAGTTCAATGATTGTTTTCCTTATTCATTTAAAGTAATTGAATTCAAAGGTTTTTTTATAGAAGAAAAGAATGCACTATGAATAGAAAGTAATTTAATTCGGAAAACAAAGTATTTTTTCTATAATATGTATTTCGAAATAAAATTTTGATAAGCAAAAATGGCAAGCATAATTCAATAAACTCTTTACAAATCAAGTGATGTTATAATTGTTTATTAAAACAATATTTGAATAAACCTATGAGATTTAATTTAAATTCAGAACCTCCTATCTGGTTTTTTGAATGGAAATAAAAAAAAACTATTCAATAACCAAATTAAAGGGGTTACAAGTTAATTTTTTAAGGAAATATTAATTTATATTAAAAATATTTTATTAAAAAAAAAAATAAAAAATTTATATTGATTTCGAACGGTAACTTGAAGTTGATGTTATTATGTTCGAAGAATATGATACATTTGCCTTACCGTTCGTAACACTAAAAAAAAATGGTCTGATAAATAGACATAAGTGCACGTTTTTGATCAGTATTAATTTCTGAGTCGATTTCTCAGCGATTGAGCAAAACTAACCAAATGTTCAAACGATTTATGAATGATTTATAATAACAAATGCCGGAACCCTGCTTAAATTTTATGTAATCGAGATAGAGGTAACTATTCTACAACTTGAAAAGTTATTTGGCTGTATCTCAGAAATTGTTGAGGAAATTATAATATCGAAATTTCGCGTAAACAAGTATATTATTGGGCCTGTTGTATTTGATAAAAGTAGTTGAAATTTCTTGACTCGTTGTAGCTGCTATACAACATTAAAAACATCATTCATTCGTACGGGTATCACAAAGTTGACACGGTCAACTCTAACTATTCTCATTTAAACTTGAATTTAAATGTTAATAATTTTGTATTCATGACGAATTTAAGTTCTAGTTAATTTATTAAATTAATTTAACGTATAAAAACTAATAAACACACGCATAAACTAAAAAATTCTTTTTTTAGTAGTGAATATACAAAAATTTTTTTTTATTTTATTAGTGTAGAAAAGCGGAAAGAAAATAGGAATGACCACAAATTCAAAAGTTATTGAAATTCATAAGAAATTTTCGTTTACGATAGTATAAAAATGTGATATTAAATTTATTATGTACTATGTTTCACATACATACATATTATATAAAATAAAATAAATAATTTGTATGCATGATTGCATATGACCTAAAAGTTAACCTGAAATCCTATATATGGTATGTATATATTTATGTGTATACATATGTATATATGTATATGGCACCTATATGGATTTCATATTACAAACATTACTATATCCTTTTTTAAAACAGAAACCTTTCATTTCTAATTTCATATATTATAATATTTAATTTCGAATACCAATTTTAATAGTGAAAGAAAAGAAGAATCATATTTTGTGACAATAAATAAAATTTTTATATTTCCAAGTCAAGAGCTTACAAAAAAAAAATTTTTTAAAAATATGCTTATTTTAGTTTTATATCGAAAGGATACTACTACATCCTATATTTAAAGGGTAATAAAAAAAAAATATTTGTTAATCATACAATAATAATATTAATAATAATATTAAAAGTACAATTGTTATTCACGTTCCTTTTTGTAAATATAAAATAGTTAGCCAATTATTTATTTGTATTCTGTTAAATTATCTTTAGTTAATTTTAGTAAATACAAAACTATTATTTTTGTCCATTGTACTAGACATTTTATATTTTCAATAATTTTAAAATAGCAAGTATAAAGAAGAGGTTTTGTGAAACATGCTCACATAGTGCATTTGAGCCTATCATTTGAGACGAAAAAATTTTGGAAACGATAATAGGACCACAATTATACCACACTAAAACCTGTGTTTTTCTATTTTCCATAATTTTCATTATGAATTTTCAAAATTTCGAATTATCCGATAAAGAGGACCTTAGAAATGCAACAAAGCTATCTCATCAATAACAATAACGAAAAAATTAGGAAAATATGAAAATTTTTCTCCTTTTAGATTTTTCGTTTTAATGAACTGGAAAATAAAGAGTCAGAATTTATAAAATTTGAATTTGTAGAATAAAAAAAAATGTATAACTACAAAAGGAATAAAAGAAGGCAAAATAAATATAATAATTGTGAAAAAAATATTCTAGTTTTTTTATTTTCAATATATTAAAAATGAAAAACAGAGGAAAATACAAATTTTTCCTCTATTATAGTTTTTTTTTTCTTTCGGCTTTAAAATAATTTATGTATATTAAAATTTGAATTTGGATATGAAAATGAAATAATTTTATGTAGACATTATGAAATATTAAATGCGTACTCGACGGCTAATTCTTTACCTATATAATATACTTTATGGCATAGAGGAGTTCTTTGTGCCAGACAAAATAAAAATAAGGTTGGATGAAACCAATGGTTTCTAAACTAGCAATTTTTCCTTGAATAAGTGAAAATACATAATGCTGTTAAAAACAATCTATTACATTTTAAATTACATTCATTCATATAACAAAATATTTCAAAAGATTGCATATATTTCAGATGAGACAAAAAGTAGAAAGAGATTTTAACATAATGGTAAAATTCAGGGGTTAGTTTAGTGAGGTAAGATAAATACGAGTTGTTATATCTTTTAATAGCATGGCATTTACCGTTAGCTTTCTGCATACCGCACGAATTACGAACAATGATAACTTGAAAATGGAAGTGAAAAATGAATGAAAGTGAAATTACATTTTTTTCCAACTAAATAAACAATTTGTTAATAACGGTTAATTCAATGGCCATTTTGTCGTTTTCATGCTCAACTATGCAATATCGCGATAAAAAAAGCCATCCACACTTTTTCTGCGTTTGTAGAAATTAAAAATCATTTATTGATTTATTTATAAAATAAATAATTCTGTTTAGAGAATTATTATTTGAGTAATAACTTTTAGAGGCTGGGAAGATAGAAATTAACCTATTTCGAAAGGGGATATATAGTTAAATTATCTATCTTAAAGGTTGTGGAAAAAAATGGTCTGTCTTAAAGATTGTTGCAAACAAGATCACGGACGAATGGAATGAAATCAATAAGCATCTTTTTTCAAAAATATTTTTCGAGAAGTGTTGAAAAGAGAGTCAATAAAAATGTTTGTTCTTTTTTAATAAGAAAATAATTAAAATTTATTTCATTAATATGCTTTATGTATAATTTTTAAGAGTATCCTTTTGGGATAATTAATCATTTCCTTCAAATATTACATACCCACATATTATATTATTTATATTTATGGAAAATTTATGAATTTGTTGTAAGATTGGTAACATTTTATATGCAAATATTTTGTATATTTCGATTATTTATTCTTTGCACGTAAAACACATATTTCTATAAACAATAATATTCTTTATTCTCTATATGTACATATACATATATGTGGTTTAAATGCAGTGCGTATATAAATATTTAAAAATTTTGTATAGAATATCCCATCGGTACCATGATTGTTATTTAAAAAGAAAATATCATCTAGGGAAAACTGAATCCTTTTTTTTTAAGTTTTTCTCTAATATTTTTATTTTGTTAACGATAATAAAAGTGGTGCAT